CATTAAGAGAACCAACTGGTATGCCAATAACATATCACGCAAAGAAAGTGTTGGAAGTAATGGAATCAAAAACGACGAAAAAGATAATAGTAGCTTCGTTCAAAAGGTCCGGTGTTGTTGGTGTTAATTTGGGTCGAGTGAAGCGAATGTTTGTTTCGTTAAAGGAGGCAAGTCGTTTACTCCGGGAAGCCGGTAATGTTTTTACTTCAGAAATGATTGAGTACTTCACTGTACCAGAAGTTGATCGCTTCTTGGTCACAATCTAAATGGAAACTTTGCCTTGGGTTGTCCCAAGACAGGTGATACAAGCTGAAACGGATGTTATTCCAGCACAACGATCGCAACAGATAACAGCTGATTGCAGCATCAATATGAATACTGATAATGAAAATGTACTTTCGACTCAAAGAGAACAAACCCGCGTTCATTTGAATTCGATTTCAAGTTCCGAATTTTTGCTCAGAATGAATAACTACATTTATGGTATTTAACTATTTAAAATACTATCAGTTTTCGTTTATTTTTAGTTTTTTCAGTTTAATGAATAGTAAAACAATGGTTTAAATATTATAACATAAATACTATCAGGTCACTCATTCACGTCAGGTGGCTCATTCTCTGTACTGTAATGTTATTTAAACTCATTAAATGTACTATTCAATTCGATTAGCCATAAACATCTGTAAATAAATAATAAAAATTAAAGCTAATATTTAATAAGATTATTATGTATTTTACACTCATCACAGTGTTTTTTTTTCAATTTGTGCTTTATCTCAACAATCAACATAAGCAAACAAATATTATTATCAATACACATGCGCAGATGATTTGACAGTTATTAGCGGAAATACAGAAACAAATTACACAAACTGCACATTCATTAGAGAATTCGATTTTTTGAATCCAACTGAAATGACTCCTTCAATATATTTCGATACTGTTGGGGGAAGTTACTGATTGCATTTTACCCGATAACACAACATCAGTGACTTTTTACAACTCAACTTTTTATTTTCAAAAACATCGCATTTGACACCCAATAAATTTACAAGTAACAAAACATACTATTATGACAATTACTTCTCTGATGTTGTTTTTGAGTTGCTTGAAAACGTCTTTACATATAACCATTATTGTATTCTTTATACATCAACATTTGACAGAATTGTGTTGTATAATTCAACATTTTTCACGTTAAAAATCTTTTCTGGGAAGACGAGTGGATATCGCAACATCTCTCCCATTGAAAATTGCAACTTTTATGCAACAGAAATTCATGAATCAATTTTCTCCAATTTAACAATTAAAAACAGTTATTATGATCTCACGGTAACGAATGATATCTTATCTGGTCTAGTCGTTGAAAAC